TTGACAATATTATAATTAACAATTAAAATTTATAATAATTAACAAAAAAATTTGTGCATGATTTTTGAGTTAAAATAAAATCTTACCTACTATCAGGTAATATAAAAACAATAACATTATAATATAATTTTGTCAACAATATTGTAATAAAATACTATGATTAATTTACTTTCTATAAAGTATATTATAGCTAGTAGGCTTGAATGGAGATTCTATATTTACGTAATCTCTTGTCAAAAGCTTTTTAATCGACTTAAATTACGAAATATGACATTAAAAATTCTAATTCTAGATAAAGCAAATTTCTAACTCGTCTTAATAGTCAAATATCATCCTCTCATTACTAGAATAAAATATTTAATATTAATGTATAACATTTATATTACAGAAATATTTAAATGACCTTAATTTAATTAGAATTATAGAAATTAAAAGATTTAAATATGTTCTATTATCTTCTGTTTTACCAGTTATGTGTAATACTAAGTTCAGAGATTTCAAAAAAATGTGTTTGTGGGCATGTTCGAAATGAAAAAGAGTGCAAAAACTCTGACTTTTGCATTTGGGAGGTTGATAAATGTATTTTAAAACCCGGACAAACATACAATAAGGAGATGAATAATTTGAATCAATGCAAGAGATATGCATAAGAGGATTGTCGAGAATAAGAAAAGTGTGGCTTTTATTTTGGTTAATGTATTGATTTTGTAGATTGTATGGTATTCGATAAAGATAATTGTTAAGAATCTTCATATAAATGTGTGTCTGATGGCTCAAAATGTGTGCAAATTTAAGAATGCGGTGATTACAAAACAGAGAATGGATGTGCCAATAAAAATAAGTATAAAAAATACTGCTTTTGGATAGGAGGGATGGAAAGAAAATGTATAGATGTCATAACGTGCGAAGATCTACCAATATACTTAACAAATCATTAAATGTGTAAATCAGGCTTAGATGGGTGTACAATAAGTGAGAACGGTTATGGATGTATAAAATAAATGGATTTGTGTCCATAATATCTTAATGAATTTTAATGCTTTGAAAGCAAAAAAAATAATTGCTTTTGGGATGCTATAAATGAAAAATGTGTCGAAAAGGTGTGCGAAAATCTACTATTCACTCAGGATTATGAATGTAAGGAAATTTTAAGTAATTGTACAACTAACGGAGTGCATTGTGTAAAAAGGAAATAATGTAGTGATGCTTAGAATTTATATGGTTGTTTAACGGATTCTGAGGGTAAAAAATGTGAATATCATTAAAATTAATGTAAAATCAAGAGCTGCAGCACAGCTCCAGATTCACTTAGGAATTATCAATAATGTTAGGATTATGATAATCTATTAGATTGTGTTACTTCTGAAAACTAAGGATGTAAAATAAGACCTGAAACATGTAATGGTTATGCTTAAGAAATGGATTGTTATTCTATAGAATAGTAGGATTGTGTATGGTATAAAAATAAATGCGAATAAAGATAATGTTATCATGCCCCAGTTTTTTTTACTCATGCAGATTGCCATTAATATGGCAATTGTATTGGGAAATTAAAAGGAGGATGTGAAATGACACCTTAATTATGTGAAGAAATATTGGTAAAACAATTTTGTGGAATAAATTATAATAAAGAAAAGTGCATTTGGCTTGGAGGTAAGTGCGAATTGTTACAATGTAAAAAATTGAAATTGCCAACCTATAAAAATCATCAACGGATTGCACTCAAATGATAACCAAAAATCAATGTTAATTGAACTTATAAGATGGAACAAATTGTTTTTGGACTGGAACTAAATGTAAGAAGTAACAATGTTTAGATGCTCCTAAAGTGAATTACACGAACAATGTTGAATGTAACACTTGGTTGAATATTTGTATTTTTGATCATTATTATGGAGGATGCAAAGATCGACCTAGTCCCCTTGCCTGTTCATCTTCTCCAAATAATATCATGTATAATAATCATTAAGAATGTTTTGCTTGGAATCCTAAATGCACAGTGATTTCCTCTTTTAATGCTGAAGGATGTGAACCAAAAAAAGCAAATTGTCATGAATTCATCAGGCAAAGAAATTGTAAGACAAATATAAATGGTTAATTTTGTTATTGGGATGATAAATTATAAATGTGTATGAATGAGGATGAGGAAAATAATGGAATTGCTGATTGTGATAAAAGACTTTATGGAGATCTAACTCATCAGGATTGTGAAGAATTCATGCCAAAGTGTACAATAAATAATATAGGTAAATTCTGTTCAGATCTTTAATGGGTTTGCGAATATTATAAATATCAATAATAATGCGTAATTGATAAAGATTATTCACCTTGCAAATGGGATAATCAAAATTAAATCTGTAAATCTGTGGTTTGTACTGACAATACTACTGCTTAAACTGAAGCTGAATGTATAAGATTCAGATTCTAGTATGATTGCCAACTAAAAATAAAGTCTAATGGAACATATGGTCCTGGTTGTGAAAAGAGACCCAACAACTGTTGGGATGTTACAGATCCTATCGTATGTAAATTAACGCTGACATATTAATAAACGAGATGTTATTATTTAAATTCTCAATGTTTTTAAATACAATCATCATAATGCGAATTAATTACTGATAGTCAAAGTAATGAACTTTGTCAGTATTATAATCCTTAGTGTGTCCTTTAACCAAGTGGATAAGGATGCTATTCAATTAATAGTTGTAATGATTTATCGAATAAGGTTTGTAACAGCTCCCTTATGCGAAAAAATTAAAGATGCATATATTAAGACAAATGTAATGAAGATATTTGTTCCTCCAGATATGTTTCTTAAAGTAGTTGTAGTGGATAAAAAACATAATTTGGAATATCTTGCTTATACACATAATGTCCTAGCTCTTCCTCTTGCGGATACTAATGCATCAATTAAACACAATAAACGAATTTAACATTTCCTTCTACAGCAACCCTCTAAGACAAAAGAGTGCAATGTTAAAGCTTCTCTTCATTATATAGGTATGATACCAGTTGTAATTGCTGTATATTATTGACTTAGTGTAGCTTGTAAGTAGGCCCACAATCTCTTTGTAATTTATCAATTAACCAGAGTGGGGTTAAATGTGGATATAATCTATCGAATAATACTTGCTAAGAAAGAATCTGCTCACATTTAAATTCCTCGTATGCCCTTTCGTAATTAATTTGCTATAATTGGGGCTATAATTGTGTATATGATGTTACTGGTTGTAAGACTTTCTCAGGTGATTTTTCAACTATTAGTTTAATATAATAATGTTATTCTAATCCTTGTTTTTGGTATGATGGTAAATGCGTCAATTATGTAAATTGTGAGCTTAACACTACGGCAGTGACTAATCGGGAATGTTTATTAAATAATAGCTCTTTATGTAGATTAAATCACGCTCTAGGCAAAGGTTGTGCTTTTACTTATTGTGAGATTATATATGTACTTGCATGGTGTAATTCAGCATATATTTATAATGGAGAAAGATGTTAGTGGCTCTCCGGCGGTTGCAGGAGAAAAACATGTGCAGGTCATTTAGTATAACTCTGATTGTGAAAACAGTTACGGCTATATTTATCCATTTGCTACAAAATGTTATTGGTGTTCGCTTTAAAATACTAAATGTTCTAATAATAAATACTGCAGTCTTGCTAGCATGACTACACCTTAAACACATGAGGATTGCAATAGTAACAATGTCGCACAAACAATCTAATTAACAATGAGCTCAAAGTGCACTCTCAAATAATAATAATGTTCAAATTACACATATAAAGAGGCTTGTGTAAAAACAATAGATAATATAGAATGTTATTGGAATTCTAATGCTTGTATAAATTATTGTGACGCAGCAGCTCAAATAATATCAACCTGGACACATTCATCATGTCAAAGTTGGAAGGATACTTGTATGTCATTAAATAATTTGGGATGTCAACTACTTGATTGCTCATTGTTAACAACAATTGAAGACTGTACTATTTTTAATCCAAAGTGTTTTTGGGATGGTTCAACCTGTTAAACTATTAGTGATTGTAGCAGGTACTCTGACACCTTGTGCTTAAATACGAGTAATTCATTAGGAATCCCTTGCTTTTGGGATGGTACTCAATGCTTAGAAAAAACATGTTCAAATAAACCTACTTCTTCAATTGATCAAACAGAATGCGACGATTGGTTGACTAACTGTTAATGGAATAGCAATAACAATCAATGCGTAGAAGATTGCTCTTAAGCTAATATTTCTAATAACACTCATTAACTATGCGAATCCTATTATTTAAATAAAAGTTGTACTGTCAAAGTAGATAGAATTTAGTGTGTGGATCTTCCCTTTTCTTGTCTTTTAGCAAAGAAAACTTAATGCTATAAAGATTAATTTGATAATGAATGCTACTATTAGGATTCATCAAATCAGTGTGTTAATTTACTATGTTCAAATCTGGAAGCATCATTTACAACCCATGAAAAATGTAACTAAAGATTAAACTCTTGTACAGTAAATATAACTTTGAATGGATGTCAAGAATTGAATAATTGCAGTAGCTATTCAATTGTAGAACAATGTAACATTGATTTCAAACAATGTAGAATGCGAATGGATAATAAGTTCAAATACATGTACAATTAAGGAATGTTCAACTGCATAATTGAATGACTATTCAGCAAATAGTTGTTAATAGTATTTTGGAGATTCCTGTACTGTAAATGATACCTTGAACGGATGCGAAATTGGCCAAATTCAATGTCTAGATTATACATATAATTAATGTAATAGTGAAGGCCAGATGAATTTAAGCGGAGTAAATTGTTTCTGGAATGAGAATAAGAGTATTTGTATGGAGAGGATTTGTAAGAATGGACCTCCACTTGCCTAATCTCATGGTGATTGTATAGTGTTTCTTTCTACCTGTTAAAAAAGTAGTTGTCGTAGAAAAGAGTGTTTTGATTACAATTATGCTATTGATTCAGCTTGTGCTTCAATATTTGAAGATAAGAGATGTGTAACTAATGGATATTAATGTATTTTACGAGGGGGCTGTGAAGATATTATTGTTAGTGATGGTTGTACTTTTGATATAAAATTAAATGCTTGTGTTTGGATTGATGAAAAATGTTATACCAAAAGTTGTGAAACAGCATCTGTTTCTATAATTGAATATTAGGAATGCAATGCATATTTTCCAAGTTGCACAGCCAAATAAGGAGGAGGATGCACTAAGAAACAAAAGTGTTAGAATTACTAAATTAAAGAGGCTTGTTATACAGATAGTGAAAATTTAGAATGCATTTGGGATGATTACCTCAATTAATGCTTTTCCAATCAATGTATCGATTTCTGCGGAGATGGTATTATTTCAAGCAGAGAAGAAGAATGCGATGATGGCAATTATTTACCTTATGATGGCTGTTACAAGTGTCAAATTCAATGTCCATTGGGATGTAATAGTTGTAATGGTAAGATTTGTGAAAAGTGTAATAAGAAG